AATTTATTATTGTTATTTTGTACTTACATTTTTTTTTTCTCAATATTTGCATGACTAATTAAGTCAACATGTGGACATGCCAATTGTAATAATAATATCTTGTAAAACCATGTAAAAGCAAATAAATATTTCTGATTTCTGATTTCTGAATCGGCCAAATAGAATCGGCGTAGTGTGCGCACTCCCATACATGCCCATACTGATCAACTGCCCGACTAAACTATCGGCCGATAAAAAAATCAACGGTGTGCGCCTACTCTAAAGTATCCTATTAAATAATGTTAAAAAGTAATCTATATCTATATTATATAAAAGAAAGTCGTGTTAGTTACTCCACTTATAACTCAAGAACGGCTGAACCGATTTAGCTGAAAATTGTCAGGGAGGTAGTTTAGAGCCAGGAGAAGGACATAGGATACCTTTTATCCCGTTCGAAATTAAAAAAAAAGTCTGCTTATTTATTGCCATTAAGGCGGAACAAAGTTCGCCGGGTCAGCTAGTACTTATATAAAAGAAAGTCGTGTTAGTTACTCCACTTATAAATCAAGAACGGCTGAACCGATTTAGCTGAAAATTGTCAGGGAGGTAGTTTAGAGCCAGGAGAAGGACATAGGATACCTTTTATCCCGTTCGAAATTAAAAAAAAAGTCTGCTTATTTATTGCCATTAAGGCGGAACAAAGTTCGCCGGGTCAGCTGGTCTAGAAATAATGTAGAGATTTTTAATGCAAAAATGTCAAATGTGATTTCCAACACCAAGATGATTGTTTGACATAACTGACATAAGGTAGGTACACGACGTTATCTCCGGCTAATCCAGCTTAGAGGCTGCACAATGGGCCGCAGCCAGGATCTCTCAGGAAGTTGACGCATCGCCTCAGCCTGTTTAGTTTGCACAGATTACTGCTAATGCCTTTGTTTGGCTGATAAGAACGATAACTTTTTGTGAACCTACGAATTTGGGTAAGAAGAGCACTGAATTTTTCCATGAGTTTTTTTTTCTGTACCCCTTTCGCTTTTTAATTAACACAGATTTATTTATCACTAGCTGACCCGGCGAACTTCGTACCGCCTTAGCGTAGAGATTTTCTTTATATTTTTTTCCGTAAAAACCTTGTACAGAGTATTAGAAAACTACAAAAAAAAATCAGCCAAATCGGTCAAGCCGTTTTCATGTTATGTCGTGACAACGGAAAACGGGTTTCATTTTTATATATATAGATTTACACTAAAAACAATGTATCTTTGCTGATGAGATACATTGTTACATCTTCCTGATGAGACTTGATTAACAAGTTAGTGTTGGTTTTCTTGTTAACCAAATAAAGAAATCGCAAAAAATGCTGTTTTATTTCTCCTAGTTAAAATCTCTACATTATTATGAAAAGTTCATATTTAAGTAGAAGATGAGCATTCACGCAAAAGTCTTAATTCAGAAACCGGCACTGACTAATCTTAATCAAGTCTAATCTCACGAGATTAATAAAATCGTTTCCATTACTTTAAAAAGTTAATTAACACTAAGTTTTGTTCAGGGGGTTTTTAATTAGGAATAAGTAATAATTATCTTGTAGCGCCAAGTACGCGCGAGCTAGAGAGTAATAATATAAGTATTTTATAGTAATACTAGCTTTCCGCCCGCGGCTTCGCCCGCGTGGAATTTTGTCTGTCACAGAAAAACTTTATCGCGCGCGTCCCTGTTTCAAAAACCGGGATAAAAACTATCCTATGTTCTTTCCCGGGACTCAAACTATCTCTATGCCAAATTTAATCAAAATCGGTTGCGAGGTTTAAGCGGGAAAGCGTAACAGACAGACAGACAGACAGACAGAGTTACTTTCGCATTTATAATATTAGTTGGGATAAATAAACGTGGCACTTTTATTCCAATATCTCGCGACGTAACAATTATAATGTTGTAAACGATAAACGCCATAAGTGTTGGTCTCATTTCAACAATCCTTTTATTGTGATAATTGTACTCTAATCCCAAAGCAGCGTGAGAAAGCAAAATCGCACGCATTTGAATGGATCGCAGACTTAGCGGCCGATTTTATCGATTTACATGGGTAGATCCTTACTTACACTGATCGCAACCAAATCCTTATCAACGAGGTATTTTAGGTCGGCTTATCTGCAAATCATTTCTTCCGCCTATAACATAATGCTGTCTCATTGCATTGTAGGTATTGAACTTTACGGCTACAAATATAAAAGTAAGTACTCATAAAATAAATGACAGGTCATCATCATCATCATCTCAGCCATAGGACGTCCACTGCTAAACATAGACCTCCCCCAATGCTTAGTTCCATGTTGCCCAGTTGGTAGCGGCCTGTGTCCAGCGCCTTCCTGCTACCTTTATGATGTCATCGGTCCACCTTGTGGGTGGACGTCCCACGCTACGTTGCACACCGTTGATTCTTAGTTGGCCGATAGTTGTGCCCGATTTCAAATTGTATGAAGAATCGGCCAAATCGAATCGGCGTAGTGTGCGCACTCCCATACATGCCCATACTGATCAACAGCCCGACTAAACTATCGGCCGACGAAAAATCAACTACTCTAAGTTGTGTTGTCTAAACATCAGATTATATTTCAACGTTTATGTTTAAAAACTTTTATACTTTTTTTCGTATACGTATGAAATAATGTAGAGTCTAAAAAGAAACAGTTTGTCACCACTGTATAATCTGTATATGTTTTAATAAGTCCAGTTTAATTTACATAGTTAGGTATTTTGAGAACATAGGTATAACAATATTTATTGTTACTACAAACATTTTTATAGCCCTATCCTAATTTCTTAATAGTTTCCTTAAAAATAAGTTCTATTTAAATACGTCCTGTACATTATTACTGAAATCGCAGACGTATTTTTCGTATAAAAATAAAGGAGAGTTTATTCACAAATACAAATATTTATAAATTTATAATCGATGGATTTTTCGAGTTCTTGACCTTCGGACAAATGTTTGAATAGTTGTTTGTCATGTATTCACAGTCTTACCTCAATTACTTACCTTATTTTTACATAGAGTTATTAATAAGTGTTAGACGCAAAAACAAAAGCTATTTTATAAACTGTATCGAATACCTACTTGTTTTATTTGTAACCACTTAGTCCTCTACTAAATTGATTTTGAACGTGCGTAAAGTCACCTAAAGTAAAGAATTATATATTTAGGAAAATTTCAAAAACTACATATTTATTGTATGTGATAACAATAACTCACAGCTAAGTTATTTAGCTTTGTTGTTATAAAGTACTTACATTTTAAATAAAAAAATATCACTAATCGTGATAATATTTGTGTCTTTAGTCAGCATTATAACTTGCACAGCATTAAAAGCTCTTATCGAATGGCAATTTTATTTGCTTCCCACAACACTAAGCAATATCACACAATTTTGAAAGCTTCACAATCTAAAATTTACCATTTTAATAAATAATTAGGAAGTTGCGATCCTTCCTCGAAATAAGAATGTGAATTTTCGCGTGAGAAACTTTGAACTATTGAAACGGTGGAGATTCACCGTTGGATTCCATTGCTAGTCCTAAAACTTATAGGTTTTGTGTCCTTTGTATCGTAATGAGGTTAAGTAGCTGAGACAATGGTCATGTGGACGTGGGAAAAAGATTATCTGTATTGTTTACTTTAACGCAGATAAGGGGATTATCGGTGTATTTCGTAATACAGTAGGTAAATAATGTTCTCTGAGCGGAACATAGTGATACTACTTACTGTAACATGTCACCATTTCACCTATGATTCATAATAAAGATTCTTGTAGGTATTTTGTAAAAGTTAAAGTTAACTTGCGTCCTCCATGAGCTATCTATTAATGATTATGAACATGAAGTATCTACCTAATAAATTAATCACCCTGGTATTGTATTCAAACAGAATTATCATACTTAAGTGTTTATAATTACGCAAATTTTATTTGATGAACTTTTATTCATGGCAAACAAAAACTATTGCGTAAAGAACTAATTTGTAAATGATGCTTAAAGTCTTAGTAGAGTTAATTGATGAGTTAGACATCGTAAGTTAATTTTAATTAAATAATTTATTTATTGTGTAAAAATAAAGAGTGTACAAAATATTAATATTTTTATCATTCACTGTTTTGAAATTAAAAAGAGATCTAGACGTAGGTATTTAGGTAAGGATTCTTTGTCTTGGCTACTAAATTATACTCAAGCAATTGTTATTGTAGCTCACTTTATAACTTCAACAACCTTAGGATTACCTACTATAGATATTCATTCAGCTATTAATGTATTAAAGATTTAAAAGGTAACTTAAGGAAGTTAAAAATAAAACGTTATTATTCGGCAAAACTGGAAATCGGATTTGTTGTTAAAACAAATTATACTACTAAGTTTCGATAGGGCCACGGTAAATGCCTATTGCAGCTTGCAGCACATTAGGTATAATGTAAACTTTAACAAGATGCTATATTCCATGAGATAAAAGAAAAATATATAATTGACCTGTTATTGTGATTCGTGATTTAAAATCACGATAAATTCGCATCGCTTATCGAATTGTAACATTTATATTATGAAATAAAAGATTGTAATAGTTATTATAATTTCTATTTATTCAGAATTTTATAGACTTGTCATAGTTTATACGATAATCCATTAATACTTTCTAGTAAATTAACAACAGTATGTTTACATATTACTGATAACAACGAAGATTAGATACTTTTACTATATTTACACATAGATCTAAGAATTTACAGGCGATTGGTCGTTTTCAGACTTGTAACTTTTATATAGACAGTATCCATGATAATTTCCTATGAACCACCACTTCTAGTTATAGTTTTATGTAGCCATACCACATATACATAACATTTACAATAATTTACACTTATAGACTTTGAGAAAAACAGTTCAGAAATAACACAGGCATCGCACGGCACCACGACGCACAAGGAAGAGTTCAACGCGCGTGCAACCGGCGGGAAACGAAGAATGAAATCAGGTAGAGAGAAGAAGCGGAGACAGAGAGCGTTTGAGTATTTCACTAGGTACGTAATGTTCAGTTAAAATCGTCCAGCGATATTTTATCGAGCATCGAAAGGTCGTTCACGGGCGCTATATACATCTCGGCCGAGCCAGGTGTCAGCCTAGGTGTCGGGCGGGCGCTGGCGGTCGGGGCTGGGCGGCGAGGCGGCGGCGGCGGAGTGGCGGCGCAGCTGGTGCAGCAGCGCCGGGTCCAGCGCCGGCCACCAGCCGCCCAGCAGCGGGTACTGCGCCGCCGGCGCCAGCGGCGCGCGCGCCTCCTCCTCGCCCGGCCGCTCCTCCGCGTCGCTCGCCACCACGTCGATGTCCTCCTCCGGCTCCTCCTCGCCGCTGCTGTCGCGCCGCTGCCGCTGCTTCTCGGGCGCGTCGTCCGGCGCCAGCAGCGATGCCACGTCGAACTGCCTCTTCCGCGCCTGAGCGCCGCCCGGCAGGCGCCCGCCGCCCCAGAACGGCAGCGGCAGAGCCGTCGGCGGGGGCGACTGCGGCGGCGGCGATGGTGAGTCCTCGCCGTCGTCGTCCACCGCCAGACCCATGTGCTTCCTCACTTTTCTCTGCGCTTTGCGTCTCCTGAAGTCTCCCTTTCGGAAGTCTTCGATGTTGGCCGGGTGGATCGCCCAGTAGTGGCCTTTGCCGTTGGCCGACCGGCCGGCCTTCACGAAGCAGTCGTTCAGCGACAGGTTGTGCCGGATGGAGTTCCGCCAGCCGGGCCCGCGCGTGCGAAAGTACGGGTAGTTGTCGAGGATGTGCTGGTAGATGTCGGAGAGCACGAGCTTGCGCTCTGGCGAGCTGAGGATGGCCATGGCGATGAGGCCGATGTAGCTGTGCTGCGGCTTGGGCTCCTCGGGCTGCAGCACGCGCTGCTGCAGCAGCGACATGGAGAGCGCCAGGCGCGGCGCGTAGGGCCCGTAGCAGGGCGCCACGCCGGGCGGGTAGAGGCGCAGGCGCTCGGCCACGGCATAGTTGTAGAGCTGCAGGCGGTAGTGGTCGAGCGCGGCGGCGGTGACGGCCGGCGCGTCCTTGCCGAGCGGCCAGGGGGCTCCGTCGGCGCCGCTGCACATGTTGTCGCGGCGGGAGCGTGCGGCACTGTGCGGAGGTCGCGCGCCGGCGGCCGGCCCGCGGCTGGGAGGGCCCGGCGCCAGCCAATCGGCGCGCGCGCGCTCCTTGTATACGTGTTTTTGTTTAGCGACGCCCCACTCCGCTGGCTTTGCAACTCCACGCGCCCTGCCTTGAGGCTACGGGTACTGATCGCATGAAAAGGCACTTCGTGTTGATGAGCCCTTGAGTTAAGTCATGATTTATTTGCGTTGTATTTTAATAGCCACGACAAAAGGAAGTTTTAATAACAAGAAAATAAAATTAATATCAAAATAATAATCTTTAAAAACTTATTTTACGGAATTAATTAACTTGATTCGTCAACATAAGTGAACAGTAGACATATCTACTATTTAAGGAGCAAATTAACGTAAGTACCTAGGTACGGGTTATACCTAAGTAATTTTTGGTATTAATTACCTACCTATTTAGTATAGTAATAGAACGATTTCACCGATTGTTCCGTCACCATTTTATGTTCTTTTTCAATGACAAGGAAAAATGTAGAGTTGAAGGGAAACAGTGAAAAATTGACGTTCAGAATGGTAATTTACCTACCTATTATATGATACTAAATAAAGATGTGACATACAATTGAACGCTTTTACACAAAATCTCAACTTTTTTTAACATCAAATACTGCTTCAGGATTAATTGTCCTGACAATGTCCTAAAATGTAATGTTTTTAATTTAATCAACGTTTTATTTAAAAAATATTTCTCTCCTAAAAAATTTAAAAAGCCTTTTTCGCCGACCGTACTTTGCGAAACCGTTACAAATGACAACTTCGTAGCGAGTGCTTCCCTGTTATTTTAGCGATATCACAACACGCAACAACACATTACTTCTCAGGAGGCGAGCGAGAGCGAGACGCACGTATAAAAATACCCCTCCCGCTCTCCGCGCGATAGGGACGGAATAATGTGCAACAGTTCCACATGTGGCTGTGATGCTGTTTGCTTTGGAGACGACAACGAGAAAAACCGACTCTACGTTTTGGTGTTTAGGCTGATGTTTGGTCGGAGGATGATGCATTGTTCTCAGGCATGAAAATAAAGAGGGCTCGGGTGCGAGAGCGACAAGGGCAGCGAGAGTAGTCGCCGCCCATTTAAATGCGCCATTTTGTTTACTGTCCCCGCGGCGGGCTTTGTGTTTTACAGAAAGCAGTGTTTCGCGGAATAACGAAATTACAGGAAATATTTACCAGTTCGTAGCGGAGACAATGACGCTACGAATCCGTAGGCGTCTACGACGCTGTAATTTGTTTTCTTTTTGTCTCTCAATACACAAATTGGCTACGGTTTGCACTTTTTTTTGTTTTTAGGTACTATGTGTATGTATGTATAATGAATATCTATCTGTTGATATGAATGTAATAATCACGAATTTTCCAAAAATAAAAAGTTTTATTTATCTTCTCTGGAATTAAGCAATTCTAAATCCTACAAAATTAAAATTATACAAGGAAAATACTTGTGTAAGTAGATTGGCAGATTGGCAAAACGTTTCTTGGTAATTTAATAATAATGTTATTAACTTTGCTTTTAACGTAGGATTATTTATTTATTAAGAGAATAAAACATGAAGTTGTACCGTAAATGGCTATTTTTATTATTCGTTACATGATTTTTTTAATGGGTACTTTCTTTGGTCAATTAACAAAAAGTGATGAGTAATTCTATTTCTATTGGTGGTTTTATCCTAATTAATTTGCTGTTAATGTGCATTTTTTAAAGATTAAAATGAGCATAGTTAACGAATTCATTACTTGGCTTAGAACACAAAATATTGTCTATTTACACTAGATACTCATCGTTTCAAATTAATTATTAATGGGCCTCGTGACATCACTGAATCATTGTTCCAACATTATTCCAACAGTTAGCAATTAATTAGTCGAAGGTCCAATTAAATCATGAATAATGTTAACGATTGCAAAATAAACCATAACCATTTTGGCAATCACTTTATGTATCGTCAAATCTAAAAATAAATACACATAGCAAATAATTTATCAGCCACTGAATCTTAAACAAAAACCAAAGTGCCGTTAGGTAAAGTCATCCAAAAAAATATCAACACCGAATTTCGGCAAGATTTACCGCTGGGAAAAGTTTATAATTTATGGAGATTGTTTTATTTCTACCTGGCGTCTTCCATTGTTGTTCTAATTGTGCCGTAAGGAGGGCGGGGCGGCCCGCCCACTCATTGCAGTCAATACTCGAGAACTTTTGTCGCGGACTGTACCCCGCAAGTTTATTTTATGTTTGTATTGTTTACTTACCCGCTACTCGTGTGGGCGTGACCACCGCTCTAAAATGCTATGAATAAAACACCCAAATTAAATTGTGAAAAGTTTTCACATATTGAATTGAAAACTATGTGAATATTATTGTTGGATGGTATTAGCATATTTATGTTTTATTTGATTGTTTTTGCTAGTTATAACTACTATAAAAGTTTGACTCTCACTAATGGGTACTTATTATTATTCTGTGCTAATGGCCCTAGTTAATAAAAAAATGAAACAGTTTTTAGTAGTTATAAGTTATAAGTAGACTTCACTGAAATGAAGTTTAGTGTAGACGTACTATACTAGTAATGTGTATCCACAAAAATTTACCTAAGAAATAGATTTTCATAGCAATACATTAAGATTTTATAGTTGCCCAAAATTTTGAATTGCTTTTCGCTGAAGGCTTATTATTCGTCGTGGATTCTATCGATCGAAGCCTCAAAGTTTGTACCGCAAATAGAAGCGGAGTTGTTTCTTGACATAAACAAATTGTATTCATCATGAAACCAACCACGGGGCCTTAAATAGAGACTCGTATCTATCACTTCTTAAGTCTTGCGAAAATGGCGCCACTTATCGTAACTTCTTAATTCTACTTAGAACAATAAAGGAACCCTGACGTCCTCGTATTAACTACAAGAGCCACAACCGTAACAATAAAATAATAAACTAAGTGTAAGCACCGCACCGTAGTTACTGCAAGACAGTCTGGTACAAAGAAAACTTAGTTATACCATTTATACTCGTACATAGAGGCAAAACAACAGTTAGTTTGTATTTTGGAAAAATCACCTAGCCTACAGAATATCTTAGTTGAAAGTTAAAGTACAGTTTATGGCTTAGATACAACCTGTACTCGTACCTATAGCCTGAAAATTACCTTCATAACCACGACAATATAAAATACAAACAATGAAGACTTTACATTGCTCATGTTGTGTTGCGCTGCCATATGACTACATACTTACCTATGTAACATGCATAATGTAGGTCAAAGGAACTCCAGGTACTGGGTCAAATTCAACTTGTGAGATTCGATCAATCACCTACTGTCAGACACCAGAAGATGTGTCGCTAAAGAATAGCTATTAAAAATTCACTAGTTCCTACCGACGTACGCCGTTAATTTTCCATGGGAATTCACAATGACTGTGGATTTCCATCAGCGTCAGTATTTAGGGCCCAAGCCGCCGGCGGCGGGGACGATTTGCATGAAATTATCGCGGCCCTCATCCCTAATACCCCCTTTGTCACGCCTAAATATTTTGCGCAGTTTTACACACAAAGTCCCTAATTCGATTCCCCGCTCACTCCGCAAAAGTTACGTATAACGACGGCGACGCAAAAACATAAAGGGGGACTTTTAAAATTGTCTGTCTCGGTGTAAGTTGTATTATTGCTAAAGGAAAAGTTAAAGTTTTTTTTCGTAGAAATTTTGAGAAGCCTAATATAAAAAAGTTGAACCGTATTAGCTTATAGAGATTTAATTAAATGAAAATCTAAACCACGTAGATGTATTGCTTGGTTTTTCCTAGTAATTTGTTCTGTGATTTTACTCACTATCTGGGGGCACGGCAGTGCCCCCACCAAGTCGAGCAAAAAAGCGGCACGGCCGTACCATCCTTTTCTCGAAGCAATTCAGGCCATTTTCGACCGCCTGTAACTTCGTTGTGGATAAAACTAGAAGGCTGAATTTTCATTAGCTATGCAGGAATTGTAAAGACACGGTATATTTAAAATTTCATTCAATTTGAACCAGTAGTTTAAGAATTATAACGGGTCAAAGTTACTTAATTTTGTCACTCACTGACTCACTGACTGACTCACTGACTGACTCACCGATCATCAAAACTCTAAGGCACTTCTAGCAGACCTAGAAGCTTCAAATTTGGAATATAAGTAGTGTTTGGTGTATGAATCAAGGAAAAACTAAAATATTTGGGGGCACGGTAGTGCAACCGCCAAGTCGAGTAAAATTTTTCATTTTCGGTCCAGTTTTCTAGATACATAACTGCTGTCTACAAAATACAAAAAGAAATGAGATCCCATCAAAAACAATACTTGTCAAAAAAACCAAGTCTCGCAACTCAGTTGTTCTACGGTAAAAAGTTGTGAGATCCATGTAATACCAAGTCCAGGCCAGGAAATCTTTAACGTTTTACATAAAATATTGACTTGGCCATCGCATGAAAACACGTGTAAATTAAATTATTTAGTGCGATGGCCAAGTCAATATATTTATGTAAAACGTTAAAGATTTCCTGGCCTGGACTTGGTATTACATGGATCTCACAACTTTTTACCGTAGAACAACTGAGTTGCGAGACTTGGTTTTTTTGACAAGTATTGTTTTTGATGGGATATCTGTGTTAGTGTATTACGACATCAATGTTCATACGAACCGATATTTATGTCACGCTGAGTTTTCTGTCGGTCAGGTCAGGACTACCCAAAGATGGAACCTTTTCTAGTAAAGGTAACCGTATTATAAATTGATAATTCTATGTATCATTTTGATATTAATGAGTTCAGTATTGATTTTCAAATAATATCAACCCACGAGTCGGTATAATAAGTCACGATTTTACGATTACGATTCATATATTTTCGAATTAAGATTTAAAAATAACCGTAAAAGAAAGCTAGAATAAGCTTCACCAAATCAACTCGCTCCGACCACCCTCGCAAATCCTAATCTCAAATTACGATAT